AGATGGAATATAAACCCCAAACTCTAACCACTTCTTGTGTCACATTTTTCTATGAACTCCCTTGGATGTAAATAAAAATCTGTCTTTTCTTTTGCTCATCTTTTGTCTCTTTAATTCACAGGCCTTCCCATTCAGAACCTCAGAGGATAGAGAAAAGTTCTTCCTCTCTGATAAATATATGGTTGATGCTAAAGAGAATGGTAATAAAGAGAGAAATTTTTCCTTTAAAATAAATGAAGGGGGGCAGTGACTGGGTGGCGTAGTCAGTTAAGCATCCGACTTCAGCTCAGGTCATAATCTCTTGGTTCTTGAGTTCGAGCCCCGGATCAGGCTCTGTGCTGTCAGCTCAGAGCCTGGCTTCTGCTTCAAATTCAGTGTCTTCCTCTCTCTCTCTCTGTCCCTCCCCTGCTCATGCTCTTCTCTCTCTCTCTCTCTCTCTCAAAAATAAACAAACATTAAAAAATATTAAATAATAAAATAAAATAAGGGGACTTTTGGCTCTGTGTGGACAGCTCAGAGCGCGGAGCCTGCTTTAGATAATTTATTTCAGAGAGAGCGAGAGAGAGAGCAAGAGCGCGTGAGCGTGAGCAGGGGAGGGTCAGAGAGAGAGGGAGACACAGAATCTGAAACAGGCCCCCGGCTCTGAGCTAGCTGTCAGCACAGAGCCTGATGTGGGGTTTGAACCCACGAACTGCAAGATCGTAACCTGAGCTGAAGCTGGACACTTAACTGACTCAGGTGCCCCTAAAATTTTTTTTAAATAAATGAAGGGTCACCCAGGTGTCTCAGTTGGTGAAGATCTAGATCCCAGCTTGGGCCGTGATCTCACAGTTAGTGTGTTCGAGCCCTGCATGGGGCTCTGTGCTGACAGTGCAGAGCCTGCTTGAGATTCTCTCTCTATGCCCCTCCCCCCTCCCTCTCTCAAAAGAAATAAATTAAAAAAATTTGAAATAAATTAAAAAAATTTAAAATAAATGAAAATTGGGGTGCCTGGCTGGCTCAGTCAGTGGACCATAAGACGATGTCGGCATTGTAAATTTGAGCCCCATGTTGGGTGTAGAGATTACTTTAAAATCTTTAAAAAACAAAAGCCCTAAAAATAAAATCACTTAACAAATAAATGAAAATTAAACGAGCTTCAGGGGCCCCTTCATTGTGGAGTGAGTGGTGAGGATTATCACAGTAAGGTTTCGACAAGAGTAGGGTAAGAATTTAAGGGTCATTTATGGAAAATGGCGTGCGGCCACTCCAGTTGTCACATGTGGTGCTAGGAGAGAAGTACCCATAGAACCTTAATTTGCTGGGGTCTTTACTGGGAATTCTGTTTCTGTAAAACACCGGTTGATAACTATTGACTGCTGTTAAGCCTCGTTAGTTCTCTAGGTTGAGGCAAGCAGCCCCAGCAGGCTGGGGTAAGCTGTTAGGCTGCTGTCCTCCAAGTCCCTGATAATGGGCTCCTTGTTGGCTGACTTGAAATCAGTGGAATATGTTTCTCATGAATACAGACTGTGTGTGTCTTGAACATCCCCGGATAGTTCATTGCAGAGAAGCAGCAGCCCCTCCGATGTAGCTCTTGTAGAATATTGGTTGTGATGGAGATCTAATAGCATTATTGTGGGGGCTCTCCCAGCTCTTATGTGTTTTAACAAAGCTGCCCAGAGCAAACAGAGGGACTTCCAGAATTCAATTTCTATAAACTAAAATCCTGTAAGTATAAATACCGGATTCTAAGGAAGTAGGGTAATTAAAAGCCAATTTGAGTGATTTTGTGGGGCAGAAGAAGCTTGAGAATGCTTCCTTTTTTTTTCAGATGCAGAGTCTATTTATTACCTTATAGGCCCTAGGCACTCCTCCAACATCCTATCATATATATTAAGATGCACCAAATATTCTGTGTGGGATATATTTTTTGCTGGAGAAAATTTATAGGATCTTTGTGACACTGCTTTTGAAATTATACGTGTGTGGGGCACCTGGGTGGCTCAGTCCATTGAGTGGCCAACTTCAGCTCAGGTTGTGATCTCGTCACTCCTGAGTCCAAGCCCCTTATGGGGCTCTCTGCTGTCAGAGAGCCTGCTATCCATCCTCTGTCCCTCCCTCTCTCTGTACCTCGTGTGCTCACACTTGCTCTCTCTCTCAAAAACAACAACAACAAACATTAAAAAAAGAAAGATGGAGGGGTGCCTGGGTGGCTTAGTCGGTTAAGTGTCCGACTTTCACTTAGGTCATGATCTCGCGGTTCGTGGGTTCGAGCCCCGTGTCGGGCTCTGTGCTGACTGCCAGCTCAGAGCCTGGAGCCTGTTTCAGTCTGTGACTCCCTCTCTCTCTGACTCTCCCCTGCTCACGCTGTCTCTCTCTCTCTCTCTCTCCTAGAAATAAATAAAACATTAAAAAAAAAAAAAAGAAAGATGGAACATGCCATTTTGTAGTAACTTTTAGAGTCCAAATGATAAAATCTTATGACAAAATCTGGTTTCAGGATAAAGGATCATTAGCCCTGGGACCCCTCTTACCGTCTTTTGTAAATCCCACACCAGGACAGCCCTTAGACTTCCCTCGTAGGGCCTGCATCCTGGGTCCCATGCTTTACAGTCCTCCTCCATGATCTGCGTCTTCATGGACAAGAAATGTGCCAGTCCTGGGGGAGTTGCCCACCCCAAATCCTCCCTCCCAGCCCTCACCAAGTCCTGGGACTCTGGACTTCCCTGTCCAATCATCCCTGAGTTTGCTTCCAGTGCTACATGGGCCTCTTCACTTGGTGTTCCCTCTGGAAACTGCACCCTGTTTGCGTACTCCTAACCCTAAGAGGGTGCCAAGGGGCAGTTTCTTAGAGGTGTGTGCACATCCAGGCCGGGGTATCCACATGTGTGAATGCAGGATGGAGACACTAGTGAGAAGAAAAAGGGGTCAGGTCAGAGGTGGGAGGCTGGCTTCTGCCATATTGCTGCATCCAATATGGGACTCTGAGGCCAACTTTGAGAATTCTCAATTCAAACCTTGTAAAATTATCAAAGTACAAGAATAAAAGATATTTTATTTAGGGGCGCCTGGGTAGCTTAGTCAGTTGGGCGTCCGACTTTCACTTAGGTCATGATCTTGCGGATCGTGGGTTCGGGCCCCATGTCGGGCTCTGTGCTGACTGCCAGCTCAGAGCCTGGAGCCTATTTTGGAGTCTGTATCTCCCTCTCTCTCTGACCCTCCTGTGCTCACGCTGTCTCTCTCTCTCCTAGAAATAAATAAAAATATTTTAAAAAAGATATTTTATTTAACAGTCTGTTCATTTGATTTATACTTTGAAATATTTAAGCATATGATGTGAAGACTTCCATTTGTATTTCTACCTCAGTGACCACAAATCTTAGGGCTGGGCAATTCCGACACAAAGCTTTATGCCAACTTCACAAAATATTTAATATCTTGAAATGATCTTAGATTTTTTGTTTTGTTTTTGGGCTTTTTTTTGTTTTTATCCAGTCACCTGCACAGTGAAACTTTTTATTTCCCAAAATGAACATGGATACACACAATAACTGAAGAAAAACTGTCTACTGACAAAGCCTGGGGTGGGATATAGAACATAATGAAGAGAGTGTTGTGGTAATTTCGTAGGTCATTTATTTACCCTTCAAAAAAGTTTTTCCAGTTTGAAGATATTTTGGTAGGATTTTATTTGAGAAAGAGATGGAGAGTAAGACACAGGTACAATTTTTTAAGTATCCCCTCTGTGGGAGACTTTGCTAAATATATAAGAACAGTATCACTTAAACTCCCTAAGATAACCTTGTCCAAATGGCTCTGTTATGTATTCACTTTAGAGAGTAGGAAGTTGTTGATAGATTGGGCTGGAGCCTAAAGTCCTGGGAGTGACCAGGAGGGTTCTGAGAAAGGAGTTAAGTGACCAGCTTCTTTCTCCAGGGGCAGGGGCTTCGGCGGAGCTTGCAGTGGAGCATCACTTCCCAAGACTTCAAGCAGCTAAATGCTGAAGGGCAGTCTTCAGTCCTGAACTTAGGTTAACTCGGGGGATCTCAAGAAGCAGCAAGACAGCCTGTTTGGGAGAACTTTCAGAAAGTGGATGGTGGGGGTGGTTGTGACAATCATATGAGAGATTATCGACTTTTAATGAAGGGAGAGGCAGGCTAGCTGAAGTCTTGACCTCTGACCTCAGAAGTACTCTCCTAGATTTGTAGCATGACTTTCAGACAACATGACTTTAGAATGTCCCACCAGCATTCGTGTAGGTGAAAGCTTGTCCCTGATGGGCTGACTCTCAAATGAATTCTGTTTTACCTATTAACACAATGGGGTGAGGGGAGCGCACAATTTTAATACACCCAGTATTTTCCAAGAATATAAATACAGCAAAGAACGAAATTTTATTGGGACTGGTAATGATTACGTTTCAAAAATCATATCACCAATAACAATATTTGTGGTTATTCAAATGGATGTGTCTGTATTTAGCACTTACTTTTAATTTGTTTGAAAGTAAGCTCTTCACCCAATCTGGAGCTTGAACTCATGACCTTGCGTTCAAGAGTCGCAAGTTCTACTGGCTGAGCCCGTTAGGCGCCCGCAGCACTTGCTTATAAATATCACTCATAAAGAAATTCAGAAATATTCAGTTGAATGATGTTTTATGTATCCAAACTTCATTATACGTAGGCACAGCGTCTGTTTACTTCACTATGTCTTTGGTGCTCCGGTACCCAATTATTTTCTTAGTGAAATGGGTATCATTTCATGATAAACTACTGTACTCAATGGTTAATCACATTGAGTTTCTGAAATCGGGCGATGTAGATTGGTTGCGTTAACTGTTTTTTCTTCCGAAGGGCGTGAAAAGGGACTGAGAAAGCATTTGTAACAGCGCGTTCCGACCACGTCGGCCCGCCCCTTGCGGCGTGCCCACCCCTACCGCCTTCCGCCACGTTCAACATGGCGGCGACGCCAGTCCGCACGGGCGCTTGAGCTGGTCGGCGGTGGCGCGTTCCACTCCCGTCATGGCGGTCCCCCGACAGGTCGCAGGCAGCGGGGCTCCGGCAACGTGCGGTCTGGAGAGCATTCTGGAGGCGCTGCAGCTGCTGCTGAGCCCGGGAGGTGAGAGGACGGATCTCGGCGCCGGGCTCACTCGGGACTCTCAGGGCCACCAGTCTTCCCGGGCTGCCCTGCCTTCCGCAGCGTGCGCCTCTCAGGCCCTCCCTGGGACCCTCAGCTCTGAGGCTCCTGGGGGCTTTGGTCATTGTCCGTCCAGCCTCATTTTACTTGAGGAAACCGAAGCTCAAGGAGGGGATGGGCTTGGCTGAACACTGATGGTAACCGACGCCTCTTGAGCGCCAGCCTTGTTCCAGGCACTCACTATTAAGCGCTCTGGGTACGCGGTTCCATTCAGTCCTTACTGTCACCCTCTGAGGTAGGGACTGCGGTACCAGCAAGAGCTTCCGAGGCAGTAGCGCTCCGGACACGCTAAGTGAGGTCCCACCTCCTGAGGGCGCAGGTCTACTGTGGACGCTGGAGATTTGTACAGAATGGCAAGGCGTGCATAAGAGGGAGGCAGTGGCGTTTGGGATGGGTTTGGGGACAGTATTTAAGGATTTACAGCCTTTGGGAGGGATTTACAGTCACTTTTACAGTCTTCCGTGGTGAGTTGACAAGATCTTCCCAATTTAGAATCTGCAGGGACCTTGGCAGTGGTTTAGTCTGGCACTCTCCTTTCACACCTGGGGACACTTAAGGCTCTCTGAAGAGATAAAGTGACCTGGCAGAGATTATGTGGTCAAATTAGGGGCAAAACACAGAGCCGAGGTCTGCCGAGCTCCCTTCTCAAATCAAGACAAATTGTTAAGTGCGGAGCCTCTGATGTTATATGAAGTTTTTTTTTTTTTAATTTTTTAATGTTTTATTTATTTCTGAGAGAGAGAGAGAGAGATAGCGTGAGCAGGGGAGGTCAGAGACAGAGGAAGGCACAGAATCCGAAACAGGTTCCAGGTTCTGAACTGGCTGTCAGCACAGAGCCCGACGCGGGGCTCGAACCCACAAACCGTGAGATCATGACATGAGCCAAAGTCGGAAGCCTAACCTACTGAGCCACCCAGGTGCCCCTGTTATATGAAGTTTTGAGAAAGGACACTAGAACAGGGACTGTGTATATGAAGGGTGAGCAAAGTAAGGTCATGCAGGGCCATGAGGTGATGTTCCAAGTCTCAGATTTTAAGATACTTCCCCAAATGCAGAAACTCCCGCAAACATTATATCATACCTGGGAGAAGCGAGAAGTCCTAATAACAGTAATTGAGGGGCACCTGGGTGGCTCAATGGTTAAGCATCTGTCACGATCTCACTATTAGTGATCTTGAGCCCTGATTCTGGTGAGCCCTGCTTCTCTTCTCTTCTCTCTCTCTTTCTCTCTCTCTCTGCCCTTCATGGGATTTTCTCCCTCTGTCTTTCTCTGCCCCTCACTCACTTGGGCCCTCTCTCTCTCAAAAAAAAAAAAAAAAAGTAATAGTAATTCAGTACCTACCAAATATCAGGCCCAATAGTATGCTGTTTACATGTATTATTATTTATTTTTTAATGTTTATTTATTATTTTTGAGAGAGAGACAGAGCGAGCCAGGGAGGGGCAGAGAGAGGGAGACACAGAATCCAAAGCAAGCGCCAGGCTCTGAGCTGTCACACAGAGCCCGATGGGGGGCTCCAACACAGGAAATGTGAGATCATGACTGAGCCGAAGTTGATTGCTTTACTAACTGAGCCACCCTGGTGCCCCTACATGTATTATTTAATCCTCACAATTCCATGACATCGGTATTACTTGTATTCCATTTTACAGATGAAGGAACCAAGCCTCAAATAAAGGCAAGTTGCCCAATGTCAGTCTAGTAAAGTATAGAGGTATAGAGCTGGAATTTTTTTTTTTTAAGGTAGGCTCTATGCAAACATGGGGCTCGAACTCAAAACTGCAGGATCAAGAGTGGCATGCTCTACTGAGTTAGTCAGGTGCATTATAACCATGATTTAGAACAATTTATTTTATTTAAAAAATGTTTTGGAGGGGGTGGGGCAGGTGCCTGGGCGGCTCAGTCAGTTAAGCGTCCCATTTTTTTAAATGTTTTTATATATTTATTTTTGAGAGAGTGCAAGCAGGGGACAGGAGGTAGACAGAGGGGGACAGAGGATCTGAAGTGGGCTTCATGCTGACAGCAAGGAGCCTGATACTGCCTCAAACTCGTGAACCGTGAGATCATGATCGGAGCTGAAGTCAGTTGCTTCACCGACTGAGCCACCCAGGTTCCCGAATCATCCAGCTCAGGTGATGATCTCTGGGTTAGTTAGACCTGAGTTGGATAGTTAGATCTAGCCCTGCATCAGGCTCTGAGCTGACTGTACAGAGCCTGCTTGGGATTCTCTCTCTCCCTCTCTCTCCACCCCTCTCCCGCTTGCCTGTGCACACAGAGCACACATGTGTGCTAAACAAATACTAAATTTTTTTTAGTGTTAGAGAAGGAGCATGAGTGAGGAAGAGAGGCAAAGGAAAGAGGGAGGGAGAATCTGAAGCAGGATCTTCTCAGCAAGAGCCTGACGCGGGGCTTAATCCCACAACCCCGGGATCATGACCTGAACTAAAATCAAAGTCAGTCGCTCAAATGACTGAGCCACCCAGGCACCCATATTACTTTTCATTTAAAATTCTGGTATAGTTAACATACAGTGTTACACTTCTTTGGGTGTACAGTATAGTGATTCTACAGTTTCATGCAACACCTGGTGATCAGCACAAGTGCACTCCTTAATCCCCATCACCTGTTTTACCCAACTGACTTCTCTGGTAGCCATCAGTTTGTCCTCTATAGCTAAGAGGCTGTTTTTTGGTCTGTCTGTCTGTCTCTCTCTTTTTTTCTCTCTCGTTTTCCCCTTTGCTTGTGGGTTTTTTGTTTGTTTGTTTCTTAAATTCCACATGAGTGAAACCATACAGTATTTGTCTCTTTCTGATTGACTTATTTCGTATTATACTCTCTGGCTCCATCCACATTGTTGCAAATGGCAAGATTTCATTCTTTTTTATGGCTGCCAGCCATATTTATCCATCTTTATCCATTCATGTATTGATGGGCACTTAGGCTGCTTCCATAATTTGGCTATTGTAAGTAATGCTGCACCAAACATAGGGGTACATATATCCTTTTGAATTAGTGTTTTCGTTTTCTTTCAGTAAATATCCAGTAGTGTGACTACTGGATTGTAGGGTAGTTATTTTTTTTTTAATGTTTTTTTTTTTTTTAGTTTTGAGAGAGAGAGAGAGCTTGTGAGTAGTGGAGAGGCAGAGACGGAGGGAGAGAGAATCCCAAGCAGGCTCCACACTGTCAGCACAGAGCCCGATGTGGGGCTTGATCCCGTGAACTGTGAGATCATGACCTGAACCAAAACCAAGAGTCAGACACTTAACCAGCTGAGCCACCGAGGTGCCCCTAAGGTAGTTATATTTTTAATATTTGGAGAAACTTTCATACTGTTTTCCACAGTGGCTGCACAGTTTGCATTCCCACCAACAGCACACGAGGGTCCCTTTCCACATCCTCGACAACATTGTTGTTTCCTGTGTTTTTTATTTTAGCTATTCTGACAGGTGTGAAGTGATAACTCAGTATAGTTTTTTTTTAAGTTTATTTATTTATGAAGAGAGAGAGAGAGTGAGTCAGCAGAAGAAGGGCAGAGAGAGAGGGAGAGAGAGAATCCCAAGCATTCTGCACTGACAGCACAGAGCCTGATGCCGGGCTCCTTCTTACAAACTATGAGATCATGACCTGAGCCAAAGCCAAGAGGTGGATGCTTAACCTACCTAGCCACCCAAGTGCCCCTCAGTGTAGTTTTGATTTGCATTTTCTTGATGATGAGTGATGTTGAGCATCTTTTCATTTGTCTATTGGCCATGCGAATGTCTTTTTTATTTTTAAGCTTACTTATTATTTTTTTTAGTAATCTCTACACCCAACATGGGACTCAAACTCACTACCTTGAGAGCAAGAGATGCATGCTTATCCAACTGAGCCAGCCAGCCGCCCCTAATTTTCTCTTTTGGAGAAATGTCTGTTCATGTCTTCTGCCTTTATTTATTTATTTAAAGTTTATTGATTTTTGAGGGTGAGAAAAAGAGGAGGAGGGGCAGGGGGTGGTAGCAGAGGATCCAAAGCAGGTTCCAAGATGATAGCACAGGGCCTGATGTGGGGCTCAACCTCATGAACTGTGAGATCATCACCTGAGCTTAAGTTGGACACTTAATTGACTGATCCACCCAGGAGCCCCTTCTGCCCATCTTTGAATGGGGATTTTTTGTGTTTCGGTTGTTGAATTGTATAAGTTCTTTATATATTTTGGATTCTTTTTTCTTTTCTGTTTTTTTTTTTTTTGGTAGAGCCAGGATTAAAGTTCAGGTACCTTCTGCTATAGTGTGATAACTGTACTACTGTGCCCCAATGGAGGAGTAAATGGCAAAAGACAGTTTTAACTTGCTAATTGAGAGGCCACTTGTCTAGTAACTGCAACTCTCTAGAAATGACTGAGAACAAAGTTAAATAAGTAAAAAATCTGGCAGTAATCATCATAAAGCACAGGTACACAAATTGCATTTACAGAAGACCTTCTCTAGATCTTGATGAGTGTTGTGGTGGAATTACATACATGTGCTCATTTAATATACAGGGATTCAAGCATTCCTATTTGAAAAAAAAAATGAGTGCTGTGGTAAAATGATAGGATTTTACACATATAGTCTATTATATATTGTGTGCATTTGCCTGCTGTTTTATTATATCAGCTGCTGAGGGAATGAAAAAATACCTGTGCATCATGAGTATTCAGATATCCCAGATGTACTGAGGACTCAGGATGAAAGTACTGGTTAAAATGACATGGAGCTAAGTTAAACTTTTTTTGATCTTTTTTTTTCTTTGTTTATTTGATTTGGTGCACCTGGGTGGCTTAGTTGAGCATCTGACTTCAGTTCAGGTCATGATCTCATGGTTTGTGGGCTTGAGCCCCACATGAGGCTCTGTTTTGACAGCTCAGAGCCTGGAGCCTGCTTCAGATTCTGTGTTTCCCTCT